AAGAAGTGGAGGTGGAGAGAAGTGAAAAGTCAATCCTACTTGTACATATGCAAAAACAAACATCAATCACTCTAGTGGTCTTTAGTTTTACCCAATTATGCATATGAACATACATACACACACACACACACACACACACATACATACATACATACATACATACTGGGAGAACAAAGAACCACTGGAGTGATGAAGTATCTCATGCCATGCTACTGCACTTTTCCTGACAAATGTGTTTCTAGAGATTCACATAGTTAAAAAGGAGGGTCAAGTGTCTACATTATTTTAATGGATTTTGGAGGGACGGCTTAGCCAAATGGAAATGTAATTAAATTATCACATGGCAATATCAAATCAGGTCAAAACATATAAAATCCATTTTGCTCTGATGATAAAACATCCTATTTTGAAATTTAAATTACGGTGTTACTAGAGTTTAAATTCTTTTTTGCTATTATTTCATCAGGATTAAATTAGCTTCTTTTTAAAGATTCTAAATGCTATGGCATTTATGCTATGCCTGTACAAATTATTGGGAGAATTGGCTGGGACTGCGATGAGGTAAGCAGCTTCACTTCAGGGACAAACTGGCGGCTTCAGCAACAACATTCATTGCTCTTGCCAACACAGATTTATTTATTTGGTAAACTGATGCATAAACAGATAACTTGGGCTAGAAGGCTATCATCAAATCAAAATCAAGCCTTGATTTTCATTGCACCACATGTGTACAATGAAATTGAATAAGGCTGCTCTGAATTTTCAAGCAGAGATTGGCGACAAAGTTTTGAAAAGTAACCCTTTCACTTGCAGTCTTGCCATGACTTAAATGTCCCTCGTTGTTCTGCACAACTCTATTAATTTAATAGCCTTAGCAACCTTTCAAACTATAGCCCAAACTATAGAGTTTTGTTTTGTTTTTATGTTTTAAAAAGAAGAACTATCCGCTTTAATAAGTTAACAATTTTGGAGCAACTACACATCAAAATAACATGTTTACTTTCTTGAATAAATGCCCAAGAATATTTTTTGTCTCCGCTAGCACAACTAATCTATGCTTCAAGAAGTGTACTCTAAAGTATTCTTCAATTACTGTATATTCAATGCATCCTTTCTAAAAAGCTTTGTTGAACAAGTGAGTTTTTTAAAGTTTACATGAACAGAATAAGACTGTATCATACAGCTTTATTATGATTGGGCTCAAGATTATAAGATGCTTGTATTATATATTTCAAAGAGACATGACCAAAACTTAAACAAAAAAACAGCAGACACTAATGAAATGTACTCAACATCTAGAAAAAAGTTACTTTTACCCCTGAATCATTAAAAAAAAACCCACAATAAAAAGCTGAAAAGTAGAAGGACACTATATTGATGGAATATCCTCCCTTTAGATGGATAATGTCCTAAAGCTAAATACTTAGTTTTAGATTTCAATATATGATATTTTTGTCTGTATGATACGAAACTGATCCCAGTTCAGCCAACTCTTAAATAAACTAGTAGTTTACATAGGAAGAAAAACTTTTGTCAGATACAATGACAAATAGAGAAGCCCTTTTATAACCTGAATACTTTATTTTTAGTCTAGCTGTTGCAAAATCACTTATCCAATTATGCTACTAAATCTATAGATCAACTACATATAGGATAATCTGGCAAGACAAAATCACTGCAATGTCAATTTTCCAGATGTCAATGCAGTGAATTAAATTCTGCAGCAGTTTACATCATTTTATGCAATAGCATTAGGGAAATGATATTCTTGACATAATGTGATGTTATACACAAACAACATTACCATGCAGATATAGGTAATACAAATGAAGTTATCTGGATTGCTGTAATGACATGTTTTTCAATTTACCAGCCATGTGGAGAATAATGGACAAACTCTCTTTCCAATTAGTTCACTAAAATAAATTTTCACTTATTCATGTAGCAATCATATTGTAACAAAGTGACTTTAGATTGATGAAGGATATTTAAAAGTATTTTTTTCTCTGGTTTGAAAATTGTATAGACCTTTCCAGTCTAGGGGGAATACCTGAGATTTCTACAACAGTCAACTCTGCAGTATAAAACCCCCTGCCAAAGAAAGCAATGCAAATTACTTCCCTAAAACTGACAAGGAAGTAAAGGAAACCTCAGGGTCACAAACATCAAAAATGTTTAAGTTGAGGATATCTTTATGTTCACTTATTCAGGATTTTGCACGAGATTACACTTAAAGAGAACCCAAGCTAGACAACTACCTAAATACAGTTTACATTTTTCCAGTGGAAAGTATGCTGACGACAATAAAATGAAAGCCTTCATGACAACATTTTGAAAATGTTCATCAAGCAAAATGTTCTGCAGTAGATGAAACGCATGGATCAAGATCTACACTGGTGTTCTTCTATTGCAATGAACAGTAGAAGGATCACAAGAACCACCTTATTTGATTCATAAATGATTTTATTCCTCATTTACTTTACAAATATTTTTATTCCTCCAACAGTCTCTACAGATTTTCTTCAGGTTCTTTCTCCCCTGTCCCTAGAGCAACAATAAAAATGTACTTCCGACAAGTCACATAATATTTTATTCCAGCTTCATTAAGAGACCATGAAATTCAATGAGGACTCAAATTACACATACTTCCGTTTATAAATTTATAAATTTAGTTGTTACTAGATAACAACTAAAGCAAATGAACTGTTTTCTTAAGCTTGGAGAATGCCCTGTTACTGTAATTTTGCAGATAGATGCACATCTATAGAAGAGCTGCATCTTTTTAAATGTTTTTTTTTTTACTTTTTGTAAACTTCACAGGAACCACATGTCTACAGAGTATAATAGTAGCATTTTAGAATGCACAATGTAGTATTGGGACATTGCATATTCCTGAGATAGAGAGCGAAGTGAAGTAGTCTGAACTACTCAAAAAATCTGTTCTAAAAAAATAAAAAATTCTAGGCAGAAATTCATGAACACAACATATACAATGTCATCAACTTCTTTGATAATGACTCTAAGACAGCTTTGAAGATAGCTTTAATATATTTCACTAATGCTGACAGAAATGCCTGAAAAAAGCTGTTTCATATAAATATGCAGCATAGGTATAGTATTACAATTCCATAATATCAGATTCATGGAATTACAAGCCAGATATGCCACTCAATAGTGACTGATAGCAGTAGCAGTTTTAATTTGAAACTTTGTTGATTTAATGAATAGTTTAATCTCTTAAAGATAAACCAACTGTAGGGATTAACTATCTTGAATTTCCCAAATAAAAAAAATTGAAAACTTGAGCAGGCATGCATGTAATCTATCACTAATGTTACATACAAACTTTAGAACATTTTATCAGTTCTATTTACTATTCCAAAGTTCAGAAAACAGTTATTTTATAAATGAGAAATCAAATGCCCTGTAATGTACCTTGAATTGTCACATGTGACATAGCTTTATAGATAGCACAAGCCAGACTGCATAGCAATTTGTTCTAGAGATTAGATGTACCTTCCCAGGAGTTCATCTAATTCTTCTATTTCAGCACCTATGACTCCTATAGCACTATAGCATGAATAAAATGGTACTTAATTTCACGAACATTTTATGGAATATATTGCTTAATATGTCATGCTAAATAGATCTTTTTGCACTAAATAGATCTTATTGCAAGTGCAGCCAGTTACTTACATTCCATAGGATAGTCTTTTTGTGGGCTATATGACACACTAAATAATTTCTACAGTATTTATCATTCTTACCTATAAACACCTACCTGTTCATATTTATTGCTACATAATTTGCTTTACTTGCAGGTGTTTTATTCCACATAAAGGCTTCTTTTAAACTCTTTATAGTTTTAAGACATTTAATACCCCCTCAATGAACAAACATGAGATCTACCTGTATAGAATAATTCTTAATAACAGTTTAAAAGACTATTCTGTCATTGTTTCCCCACCATGCTAATTCACTCAAGGTGGCAGGAAAACAGTATCACACTCCTTCTTTACTTCAGATAGGAACATATTAGTCATGGGAAAGACATCCAAGAATTCCAAGATATGATGAGGACTGTGCTCTAAACTTTACAGCATTAGAAAATGGACACTATCATCTGTAAAATAGTACTATATTTTAAACAATTTTTATATTCTTAACTAATGATATCCACCAGTTAACATTTTAGGGATGAGTCCATTAATTTAAAATATGTAGTTAAGGTTTAAGTTCTTCAATTTTTGTCTTGAAATATTAAATGATTTCAGAGACTGGTATGCAAATGTAATCAGTTTATAAAGCTGCTATTTTTTTCAGTAATCCCTCCCCCCTCCCCCATTATCCATTAATTTTGTGGATTGAAATCTAAAGTGACAATTGATCACAGAAGTAAACATCTTCTGGCAAACCATACCATATTGTATTGTTCCCCCCTCCAAAAAAACCCCACCCCTTTCTGACAGTAATTGTTTGTGATAGCAAAATTAAAGCAAAAAACATTTTCTTTCTTTCCCTTCTTCTGGCTTTGACACCATTCTCCTCATCCCACCTTCTCTAGCTGTGGCTTCCCAATTGTAGCGATTAAAACTAAATCACTATAATTTGTTCGCCATGTTTCAATTTTGGACTAAGGGCTTCAGAAATATGGGTTGGTACAATTTGCTTTCTCCGAAGACTGTCCACGTTGTCAGTTTTACAAGAGTGACACGTGTCATATCTATCCCCCATTAGAAGTTCCTGCTCACGTCAAAAGACGTGCCCATCACAGGACCGCACCCAAACACAACAGCTCTTAAATCACTTGCAAACAAGCGGCGGAAGCAGGTCTTGAAGGTGACGAATTACCAAGAAATGGTATTAAGAAGAGTGCAAATAAACAAATCAACTTACACTCGGAGAAATGGAAAAATGAACGGCTGCTCCCAGAGGTTCGTAGGGAGGAGGAAAAAAAGCCACAAGGGCTGTATATTTGAGCGCCTGCAGTAATTACTCACCTCTTTGATCTTTTCTCTTTTCTGCTGGACGGCGAGGTCGCTGGGTTCTGTTCCGACGGCCCCGATAGGTTTGCGGAAAGGTAGGTCGGGCAATCCGGGAGCCCCCGGCTCTCCCCGGCCCAACTTGTCCTGCATGAGAAGCTTCACCTTGTCCTGGTGGATTTCCCTGCGGATCTCGTCGGGCAGTTTTTGCAGAGTCTCTTTCGCCTCTCGCAAAGCGCGCTCGTGATCCTCACGGATCTTGGCTAAGTTCTCCGCCGCTTCCTCCGCCGCCGCCGAGCCGGCCCCGAAACTGCTGCTACTCCCCGCACCGGCCGGTGGCGGGACGTGCGGATCGCTCTGGGCGGGCGGCCCCGCCGCCGGCGGCGGCGGCTGTTGGAGGGTGGTCGAGTGGAAGAAGACGCCGCTGAGCAATTTGGGGGAGTCCGGCAGGAAGAAGATGGCACCGAAGCAAAGCGTGATGAAAGCGCTGAAGACCAGCAACAGCACGAACTTTTCCGTCAGTCGGAACGCACCGCTGGGGCCGGGCCCTTTTCGGCTCCCGGGCCCTCCCAAGGGACCCCCGCCTAAGGAGCCACCCAAAGTGCCCGGGTTGGCGGGGCTGCCGAAAAGCGGCAGCAAACTGACGGCTGGCATGGCAGCCCCACTGATAAAGTCCGGCTGCTAGAGGATGGCGACGGCCGCCGCGGGACAACCGCGGGGCGGCCCGTTTGCAAGGCTCCCGTGCGGCAGCAGCAGCCGCTGCCTCCCCAGCCCCACTCAGAGCGGGCGAGCAGCGGGACTAGCCCGCGCCCGTCGCCTCGGGCCGCCGCTGCCGGGGACAACTTCGCCGTCCTCCCCAGCGACAGGAAGTTTTCTCGAGTCCCTGCCGCCGCCACGGCCGCCGCCTCTTCTTTGCAAAAAACACGATTCCCGCTCGGTTGGAGCCCTGGGCTGAAGGCAGGCAGGCGGTGGCGACCCGTGGTTAAGCGGCCGACGGGGGATGAAGGGCGGACTCTTGTCAGCTCCTGGGGCGGCTGCTCTCTCTAGAACTGCCCATGCCGGCGCCTCCAACGCTGGCTGTCAGGTAACCAACGAGCGCAAGGGCAGGCGGGTCCCGGAGCGCCTGCGTTGCCCGAGAGGCGCCCCGCTCGTCCGTAGCAAGGGACAACCTTTGCTCCCCGCCGAGGCGCCGCCGGACCCCGCGTGCTACGCAGAACAATCGATTTGTCCGGTCACGAAGTGCGGAACTGAGAGAGGCTCGCCCAACCAAGAGAGCTAAAGAGGAAAAAAAGGGGAGGCTCCCTTTGGCGGGGAAGGAGCGAGACGGGCCAATCACAGAGTAGGCGGAGCAGGAAAACGTTACGGGGGGAAAAAAGCGGGGCGGAGTTTAGAAGGCGAGGCGAAGCGGGCGATTGACGTGGGCGTGGAAGACGTTCCGTTAGAAATAACGGAGGAGGCTCCGGGCCGCTTTCCCCGGATCCGAACGTGCGAACTGTGGGTGCCGCTACAGTCCTCGTGTTTCCCCGTCGATGAGGCTCGCCCGTCACGCCGGAGGCAGTGCCCGATAGCCCCAGATTCGTTAGGTTCCCTCACTCTGTCCTGTTAATTCAGGGGAATTGGATCGGTGCTCTACGGAAGGACATTAAATCGCAAATGCCGTTTAACCGCTCAAAACTCGGGGGTGTGTGTCGAGTTTTTGTAAGCGCGGGCTCATGGTTTTTTCGTATCTGTCTCATGCACGGAGTGGGAGCGTCACGCAGTTTATCTCTTCATTTTTGCAACACTTATTTAAAAAGGGTTACTAATTAAAAAAGGGTTACTAACGCTGGACGTGTAGTTAACAGGGAGATTGTGTGCCATGGAGTGAAATATTGAGTTACTTCTTTTGGTTCTGTGTAAATCTGCATAGAATCTGCATCTCCTTGTGCTGTACAGAATGGGATGAATTCTCAATGAAGCGCGTTAGAACTACTTTATAAAATTGGGATTTTTTTTTACCTTATTGTAAGGCAGGGTTCCTCAAAGTCTTCCATTGATTGACTCCCAAACATTTATTATATCGAAATAATAGAATGAACTAACAACACTACAAAGAATGTGAATCACTTGGGTAGCAAATAGCACTTGGACTTATATACTGCTTCATAGTATTTTACAGCCCCTCTCTAAGCAGTTTTACAGAGTCAGCATATTGACTCCAACAATCTGGTCCTCATTTTACAGACCTCGGAAGAATGGAAGGCTGAGTCAACAATTAGCTGGTCAGGATTGAACTCCTGGCAGTTGGTCTTTACCAATTAGCCTGCAATACTACAACATAACCACTGTGCCACCACGGATCTATAGTCCCATCAATATATTGACCACTTTGGGGAACCTTGCTATAAGGGTTGGTGGTTAAAGTACTGGATTAGGAATGTGAAATCTTGCCACAAGTCAGCCCTCAACTATGAAAATTCACTGGTGACTTTAGACAATCACTTTTTTTCAGTTCAATTTATCTCATCAAATTAATAGGATAAAATGGAGCCTACATTGTGCCGTGAATTCTTGAAAGGTAAAATATAAATCTAGCAAATCTCAAACTTTCCCTACTCTCCTTTTATCTTATAGTTGGTCCTCGAATTATGACCACAATTGAGCCCTAAATTTATGTGACTAATTTGTTAAGTGGGTTTTGCCCCATTTTGTGACCTTTCTTGCCACAGTTATTAAGTGAATCATTGCAGTTGTTAAGTTGTTAACATGGTTGTTAAGTGAATCTGGTTTCCTCATTGACTTTGCTTATCAAAAAGTTTCAAAAGCAGATCACATGAGTCCAGGATCCTGCAACATAAACGGAACCAGTGTTCTTGGAGATGCTGCAACAGACATAACTGAAAAAAAGGTCATTAGTCACTTTTTCAGTGCTGTTGTACTTTAAACGGCCACTAAATGAACATTTGTAAATTGGAGACTATCTGTACTGCATTTCATCTTACTTACATGGAATAAGCATTGTACTATGCAAGCTTTCAGTCTTATCCAGATCTGTAAATTGTATTTTTATTCTGCATCTGATATGCAGCCTTCCACTAACTTTCATTGCCAATCATTGAGGTCTACCACAGAAGAATTAGACTCATGTCTGGTTAAGAACATGCTCCTATCAATCATGCAGCACTAGATGGATGCTGGTATGGTAATTTGAATGCAACATACACTTAAAACCACCAGTTACTCTATAGTTTTGGGAAACCCTGCTTTCTCCCCCTTCCTTCTATGCTCTTGCATTGGTGGAAAATACATTTGTAGATATCTGTCTTGGTACTTTCTTTTTTCATTGGAAAGACTGACTGTTCATTGTGCTCCCTGCTTACCTTTGCACATACTCAATGAGTATGGAAGTATTTGTGATCTATCAGTAACAATACAGCAAACATAGAATGAGTTTGCAATGCATTGGGAACAGCAATCAACCAGGATGTTATGTATAAGCGTTCATTTATAGATGATGTCAAAGAATAGCAAAATGAAGTCTGGAAGATAAGGGTGAGACTCAAGGTTTATTTCAATTACATTGACTATCAGGAAGTAGTTCGTGATCAATTTTTGTTTTGCATAGGGGCTCTTCAGATATGAGTAGCATGTGTCATTCTGGAAGATTCAAACCCTGTACCAGAAATTGAACTCAGACTTTTGTACTTTAGATGGTTTAGAGAGGGGGACCTCTCTATTTTACATGGTGGTGATCTAAGAGCTGATGATGGAAATTATGTAAAACCTTGTATGTGGAGGCATAATAATATAATACTTGCCTTGAAATTTAAGGAAAGGAGACTGTATATACCAGTGTTTCCCACCCTTTAAGGTCTGTGGACGTCAACTCCCAGAATTCCCCAAGAGAGCTGAGGCTTTATTACATACTAGCAATAGACAGGATGCATGCAAATAGTTTTTCCTATCACTGTCCATCATTAGACAATTTGTGAATTGTCCATCACTGACAATTTGGATTGCCCAGATCTTTTCATTAATATAGCAGAATTTAAATTTCTCTTTATTTTTAATCTGATCTATTTCAAAAATTTGGGGCAGGTAAAAATATGCTAATTCTTTATTATTCTCCTTTGCACCATAATGATTTTCATTTGCTAAAATAGGAAGTACTCCATTTCTCAGAAACTCAATAGTTTAAGTGACTCTTCAGAGAAAGATTTCCGAAGTTCTTAGGTAGCTACTCAAAACACTTCTGTTTTGGTGAATATTTCAAGAGCTTTAAATGCTTGTGATACAACATAGAAATAGCTATACAGCTTTGTAGTTAAAACATAAATTGAAACCAGACTATTTTTTTCTTTCTGTGCACAAGTATTCTTGCTGCTTGGGCTGATCTAAAGTATTACTAAATTTGCCTTTCCAGCAATAGTAGAAAATGAGGCAGTGCTATAGAGTAGCATCTGTATGAGCAAATTTACAGATATTCAGAGCAAGTGCTCCTTAATGTGTTACCTAGTCAGGCATGTTTCCTAACTTAAAGGCAGTGATCGGAAGGGCATTTGGTAAGCAGATAAAGATGCTGATTTTTGAAATTAGAAATCTTACTAGTTTTGATTTTTGTGAACCAAGAAATAGGAACAAAAGGAGAAAACTTTCTGTTGTATTATAAGGAATTAAATTGTTCAGGGACATCAATTTTTCTCTATTTTCTAGGAAACCTCAGTTCCACTTTACCCTCCTTAGCTGGCAACAGATGTAATAAGTGATTACTAGTGAATGGGGATTTTCCCCACAGGCTTTTAAATTATAAACTTTTTAATTTGGTGAATTTTATTTCTAATTCATCCTTTCTATGAGCATTTCTTCGTGTTCTTTTGCTTTACTACTGAACTGTTTATCCAACAATTTGTAACTTGTGAAATCTTTGACACTAAACCACATTCATGGTACAATAACTTCAGACAAGGTGCAACTTCCTGCTGGTTCCTTCACATGATCAAAATAGTATGTAAAGAGAAAGGCAAAGCAAATCACAACTCAATAATAACTCTATCTTTCCCCCCATTTTAAAGAGAGATCAAGATTTCTGAGGTGTTGCTTTGTAGGTAGAATTTTACTGAAACAATAAAAAGCACCCTTAACATAACTTTCAAATTAATAACAATCATATTCCCTTTGATAATTGTTTTGTGGTGTTTTTTTTAGCACTAGCTTATGTTAAGGTTAAAAAGGAACTGTTTCTTCTATGTTTTCAGTTTCTGGTGTTTTGATATGCACAGCTGTCCTCTCTGAGATACTGTTTTTCGTTAAGCACTTAAAAGTTCATACAAAGCCCAGGTTTGTTTCATTGTTTAATACTTGTTTATTGAATAAACTTTAACAGCTGAATTTGTACAGCACACTAAATATTAAAATACTATTGACAAACCCACAGTGGCTAGGTTTACACAAAGTCCAAATTCAGAAAAAAGTATATTCTGATATAATTTGTTTTAATTCAATATTCATAGTTATGTTTTGTTTTGTTAAACCTTTAGCATTTTCTAGTATTATTTATTTGGAGTTTTCTATAAATATTCTGGTAATTGTAAGTGATCATCAGAACAAATTAAGACTACACTACACTGTAGTCTTAAGAATTCTAAATCTCTTCATGTTACTTCATGCTTTGTGAAAAATTGTATTTACATAATTTTATATCCATGTCTCCCAAATTTTTCAGTTTTTTCATTTATTATTATGGTCCATTTCTCTCTTTCATTTAGCCAAAAAATTCCTTGAACATATAATTCTCAGCTACTATTCTTTCCAGATAGTTTCCAGAATGTCTTCTTAATTAAATTCTGTGGTTATTATATTTCTCCCAACACAGGGTTTTAATATATTATATGAAATTAAATTAATTAAATAAGGATAGAATTTTTAGATTAAGATAGAAAGTTTTCTATTCCTAATCATTCATATTATACTGACTGCTTTAGTCAATTACTAAGTATTGATATTAATAAAAATAGTTCTAAAATCTTAATTTGACACAAAATACTTTAATATACATCATTAAATTAATATCACTTTAAAACGTTTATTCAATCTTCTACTGTATATATTTTTTC